CAGAACACATCATTATGTTACTCAAGTACTCTATAATTGATATAATGAAGGATTTATTAGTGTCTAAGTTATTCTTGTGTATTAAAATAGGATTTTAAGACTAATATTCTCCGAGGTAAAGGCATAATAAGCAGCACCAACAGGTGTAACACTAGTAAAACCAGAAGTTTTTTTTTCTGCAGTGAACTGATTTTTAATAATTTATTACATGAAAACAGTCTTTTTGTCTTTCTTTTGGTTAATAAGCACCATAAAAAGGCTCCTTTTCAGCTGTTTGGTTTTGGGTTTGCACACATAATGCATACGATGCCTCCAATGTATCTTCAAAGGATCCAGATGATTTGATTTAAACAAACCACAGCACTCTGGTTCACCACAGAGCACCAATCAATTCCTGGGGTCAGGAAAACCACGCAGGAACCTCAGTTTAAGAAAGTCTCCCCAAAGGAAGTTGCAAGTAAGGCTCTAAATCTTCCTTAGGACCTGAATAGGCATCAATGCTCCTGAAAAACTGAACTACGCCGATAGAAATGCTTACAGGATTTATATTTTAATGTCTGAGCGTGAGGGACTTCAGAGCTGTGGGCGATTTTTAATCCTTAATCTCCCCGTCAAAACGAGCTTCTGTTTTCCAGATTCTCAAGGCGGTTGTTTTTCAGTTCCCTGTCCCTCATCGGAGCCTGAGATGGATCTGAAATTCCCTTTGTGCCATCTGCACACACAGTGGGAGGGCAGCACTCCAGGTACCCAGGGAGCCGACCCTCAGCTCCCACTGCTGCCACACCAGAACAGTCATTTGTCTCTGCCTTCAGCTTTCAAACTCACCCCCTCCAAGACATCTGTTTTCCTTGAGAGGAAACATGACATTCCAGTGCTGCTAAAGCACCCTCCTCCTTCAGGAAGGTTGTCCTGGAATTCTCTGTTTCAAGACTTCAGTACAACTAAAAAAACAAAATCTTTTTTTTTTTCTTTTTTTTTTTTTTTTTTTTTGTCAGCAGTAGCAGCAACAGTCAAATTCTGGAATATGTATTAATCTAAACTCGGGGGTTATCTAAAACACAGACAGAGCTCCCTCATTCCTTTTCTCGAGGCTCTGACTACCATGAGATATTTTTATCAGGTTTCAGGAGTCAATTAATAATAAACAACATTTAGATTACAGAGGAAGTGAACAGCTGTTCTTTGGATAAAAAGAAAAACTAATTGAAAACTAATAGGCATTTTATGGAATCCCACAATAGTTTCAGTGAAAATAAAGTACCACAGAAGTAAATTATGCCTACAAAAGAAAAAGCATCATGTTTCCACAATCAAACCACACCTACTAAATGCCAGGAGTTATTATCCCCGGTCTGTCACACACAAAAGGCTTTCTGCATAAAACTTTAAAGGGAACATTGGAACAAAAGACTATTTGTCACACTGAAAGGTAACAGTGGGGGTGTGTCATGGATGCATCAGACAAGATCCATCAGCACAAAGGTTACTGGTTTGCTTAGATTTAACATGGAAATTTGTATATCCTAGCAACAAAACAGCTAAAAAATATTGTGGGGCTTCTGAGAAAAATGTATTTCAATGACAACTCTAATATGCTATTTATACAACATTGCACAGAACATGGTATATTCCAAAATTACTGTGTTTGAAATGGTTGTTTTACGGAGTCAGCCTTACTTTCTCTAAAACTTAAGAGTGTATGGATAAAATACTGATTTTTCTATCATATAACAGCAGTTCATGTAGGGCTTCTGACAGTTTTGTGCCCTATAGCTCTTTTGAAAAAGCCACAACACTCAGTAGTCCTGCCAGCTTAGATACAAACCATCTTCCAAGGGAAATTTATCCTCTAATGTATGTTTTGTATATTTTTAGGCCCTTTAATGTGATGTTATCTTTTGCAATAAATTGAGATGTTTTTATGAGGTTTCAGGAGCCAATTAATAATAAATAATGTTTAGGTTACAAAGGAGGTGAATAGTCCTTTGGAAGAAGAAAAATGAATGGAAAATTAGTAGGCATTTATATAATCATTCTGCAGCTTTTCCAGGTAGAACAAGGGTTTAAATTGGAATACTGAGCAACACATCTGTAGCTTTTAGCTAGACTATATTTGAATATATGGGATTGTCCTGTTACAGCAGCTCTCCAAAGAGTTCCTCTGGTCATCATTTCCCCACAGAGAAAGCTCTAGAGCAGTTTTGCTTAACAGAGCACACAGTTTTCTTTTTGGCAAAGCCTTTATGTGTGTATAAATATTGTCTGAAAACTTCTCTGTGTGGTGTGGCTACACTCATTTCATCATGATAAGCTGACACTGTGAGCAGAATCGAGTTTGGAAGTACTAAAGGAAACCTTTAAGTTGTAAATGGTGGATTTATGATATTTCTGTTTACCTAATCAAGCCAAGACTGAAAACAAGTATTGTGTTCTCTGTGCTTTTACATTTTACCTCCATAATTCCTGCAGTAGGACTTCACTGCATCACATCTTTAACTAAACATCTAAATTTCATAAGATATTCAAGATAAAGCTGAATACCCAGTTTCAGACAATAAACTTGTCCCTTTTCACAAGTTCAGAAGCACTTCTACAACTAGAAAGAGTCAAGGTTTTATGGATTTTTAAGTGTGAAAGTAACCAAGCTGTTAAAGCCTTCAACTGCTAAAGCAGCACAATGAAGGCAAGAATGGCACTTAAGTAAATCTTCTCTGCAGCAGCTGCAAAAAGCCAAATTATTGTTCCACCATCACCACCACCTTCTCCTGAAGGGATTATTTCCTCCTGAGCCTGACTCTTCCCAGTAACTCCATGAACATAGCACAGGTAGCACCTTCCCTTTCCCTCCAGCTGGCACTGGCAGCAAGAAAAGATCAAGGAACTGTAACCAGAAATCCTTTTAATGCCTTCTCTGCCAACAAGAGAGAGGACTGTGAAAAGGACACCTGAATATGAAAATTCTTACTCCTGCCAGAAAGTAAAAACAACCACAGGTGAATAAAATCCAATCATCTGTCCAGTGCAAGGCATTTAAACTTCCAAGGAATTACAGCTCTTGTATATTGTAATCATAGTTATTATCAGTATAACATTAGCATTGCTTTCCACACTATTTTCAAATTCTAGAAAATCACACTGCAGAAGAAAACAAAAATACTTGCAATATTCACAAACATAGGGACAGATTTAAGAATCTAAAGAATAACCTTCTGTTCTCCTGGAAGTAACAGATTTATTCCCCTTTGAGATCTGTCATACCTGAATAACATCAGCTACACACTCTGACTGCAGCTATTCCAGGTGTCCCACCCGTGCCTGCAAAGTTCACCACACTTGCAGCAACCTGAGCTCACCTAAACATTCTGCAGGACAAAATTCCTGACCATCTGCTTCATTTTTTAAAAATTAACCATTCAGGTCTTCAGCAAGTTTGACCCTTTCAAGATGTTTTAAAGCAAACCTGAAAATTAAGCCAGGGAACTAAAGCCAGTACACAGAACACGAAAAAAAAAAAAAAACCACCACCTTATTTTGCCAGTTCTTTCTGAATTCAAAAGACTATTTTGTTCACTACAAACAATTTCTTCACATGTGAAAGACCACTCTGTTGAGAGGTGTTGCCTCAGCTGCAGGAAACTCAGTAATTTATTGGAATTCTGCTGTGAAAAACCTCTAAAATGCCCAATAAACACACATGTATAGATGCTTATGAGTATAATTAGCATTCAGAAAGCTGCATTTCAAAAGTCACACTGAATTTGTTCTTTTTAGGTTAAGAAGAAATTACAGTAGATGAGAGGGCAAAAAAAAAAGAAACAGATTTTCCAAGCCATTTCAATTTACTGCAACCAGCTTGTTTCCTAATGAGAAGGATCTTTTATGCAGGATCACCACGGCTCTGTTTTGCTTCTTCCTGTGGTGTTTATGGGATCCAGAAATACTCCCTAACAGACTGATTAAATCATCCACAGCACTCAGATCATGATTTCCTTGTGACACAGAAAACCTCTGCAAACACTGCAGGGAACTGAAAGGTTCACTGGTCTTCATTCCAAGCCATTTCCTGTTGTGACCACGGATAAATGCCCGAGGGTTACACACAAACAACAACAGACCGAGTTCTGATAGACAGCTGACACAATTCTGAGACTTGCAGATGGACCAGCGGGGAGTTTGAAGCAACCACTGGCAAATATTTCCTTTGCAGAGCTCAGTTATTAGGAGACTAATCATTAGGAGACTCGTGCTCTGGCTGGCAATGATCTAAAGCTGGTATTTTGGTTTTCCAACAGAAATAACCAGGGAAACACAGCACAGTTTGAAAGACATGCAGGGTACCCTCATGGCCAAAGCAAACAAGCCAATCCTTAAAGACAAAAGAGTTGACATCCATCTTCCCATCAGGCTGAAGGGCAGGCTCTAGAATTCCTGATGGACACAACTCCCTTGCCTTCTCACAAACAGTCTAAATCTAGAGAAGCCCTCATGGGATGTGTATTTAAATCAACATAAATTGCAGAATCTTTCCTTGAATGTAACTCTTAAAGCGTGGAATGTCCCTCAGAAAGTCTCAGGTGTGTGCTCTGTGCCAGCAGAGCTCCAGGGATTTTTCCATCTGCCAATTATTCATAGAAGTTTTGTTTTTTTAAGTTTTACTCAGACAAGTCCACTTAAGGTTAGTGGAAGCACTGTTCTCAGTGTATTCAAGTGTGCCCTTTATGCAGGTTTGTAAGACATTCTTCTTTTTGCAAATATCAATTAACTTCAGATTTACCATTTTTTCTTTTAAAGAACATCCAAATCTCACAATTACACTGCGAAAGACACTACAGTGGCATGGCTGAGTGAAAGCAGACTAAAGCTTGAGACCTTTTATCTGAAATTAAAATTGAAAAGTTCAGAAACAAGGACTCCAAAAATGCTATATTTACTTTTTTTTTTCCCAGGATAACTATAAAATGAGTTTCAAAGCATTGGAAATACATTAAAATATTACTCACAATTAAGGGATCTCGCCCCATTGTAATAACAGTTCTGTTCACTGTACGTAACAACTGCACCATTATTTCTTGGATATGGTGATAAGTTGAAGCCTGTAAAAGAAACAGAAACAACAGAGGTTTGGTATTAAAACCATTTCTCCTGCAGAAGTAAGAAGAAACCAAATAATTCCATGTTGACAGTTCAAGTTGTGTAATATAACAACCCTACTGCAAGAGCAACGCTAATTCTTCCTGCTCACACTGCTCCTTAGTTGCAGCCATTCCCGTGGAATTCTCATTCCAAGGGGCCACAGTCCAATTTCAGCCTCATCTACTCCACAACTGCTTTTGGTTTCCAACACTCACTTCCCGTCCCTCACTCAGGGGACTCCTGTTCCCTCCAGTAAGTGAATAGTCTGTAACTCAACAGCAACACCCTGGTAACAGTTAATTAAAGCAAATTGTCAGTGCCCTCAGGGCAGTCTGGAGCTCAGGAATATTCTTGCAGTCATAAAGGATACAGTTTTAAAGAACAAAGTCATCTTCATTTAACCCTGCAGCTCTGGGAGGGCACGAGCTGATCAGCCCCACTGCCCAAGTACTGCTCTTGTTGCCTGAAGGACTTTTGATTATTTATTTTAAAACACCGAGCAAATGGGAATAACCTTATATTCACCAGTTTTACTGCCCTTACCCTGATAACTAGACAGCTTGGGAAACCAGATTGCAACAAAGAAAGAAAAAGCCTAAACAAATTTCTACCAGAAAAAGCTAATTAGCTTATACCAACAAAGCACCTTTTTAATGTCAGGTACAGTTTGCCAAGAACACCACAGTCACAGAAGCCATGGGGAGTTCCTAATGTTTTAGGTCTCTGAGATCCAATAACGCCCCAGGAGAAACTGCTTCTGATTGTTTTTCCTCTGAGACATCCAATGTTTTCTCCCTTTTTTCTCCTGTTCTGATTAACCTGGTTCAGGCCACCACAGTTTACAACAGGGACCTTCCTCACATTTGGAAGTTCATTTACTATTACATTTAGTCCTGTTGTGTCCTCTGACTAAAACACCCAAAAGCTTAAATGATCTCAGCTGTCGCAGCATCTCAGAAATTATTATATTCTATAAGTGAAAAAAATATTCCCAAAATAATTTGTGATTGTTTTCTTCCTTAAAATTTCAGAAAAAAATTCAGCAGCCAAAACTTATAAACTAAATAGCAGGGCTTTGCATAGAGAATTAATTTGTTCATTGGTTTCTTTTTTTTTTTTTTAATTTAAAATTCTAAGATGAGGGGCCATATAATCTAACTTCACTGCCACATTTCATTGTGTGCTACACCATTATTAGTAACAGTTCAGGCCATCACATAATGGGTTTGAACATTTAGCCATGACTCCATTATGAAAGAGGAGCTCTACTCTGAATTCATATCCAGCACATAACACACCTCTCCTAAAAAACTATTGGATATGCTCAAGCGTGGAGAGGTTATTTTCTGCCAGACCTTTGAATTTTGCAGAGAAACATTAGCAAATGAATTAAAATGGTTTCTTTATGAAACCGAGACTCCCTTTCTTCTTGAAAAGCTAAGAAATAATTAGGCATTCAATACTGACATTCCTAAATTAACAGAAAGGGTTTTCACACATTGTCTCTACACAAGATTTCAGCTTTTATCTTCCAGTTTCTAGCTTCAGAGCAAAGTGTAACAACCCACTGCTACTTGAGCTCTCTTAGATCATATTTCCCTTCACAAGGATGACATGGGAAAACCCACCATCAACTGGTTTCAGTTCATTTGATTAAACATAACTTTTTTGCAGAAGTTAATTAACAACTTGTACCATATCTAAATGCTCCCTTGGAACACAGGAGTTGTACTATTCCATTTAATGAAGTGTGGCCATCAAAAACATGTGCCTGTCTTCCCTGCTGAAAAGGGTTTGCTGGGTGACCAAGGCATGGAACAACCAGACCTCACCCCGGGTCTGCAGTGGGGAAAATCTGTGTTCCCACAGAGCTCAAACAGATCCATTCTTGGGCTGGATGGCACACATCAGAACATAGATCAGTTAATAGAAAATCCAAAACAAATAATTTCATTCTTTTTAAAGAAATACCTGTGCAGGGTCATAGTTATTGTTTGATTTAGTTTTATCTTCTGTTTAAGCTTCTAACAGGGCTGGGACAAAAATAAGAGCAATTCCACTGTCTCAGAGTCAAACATGCCCTTCAGATGCCAATGGAGGGCTCTTTAATTTGGACAGTGGCACACAGGGAGTAAGGGAATGGCTCCTTTGGAACTGCAATATTACACAACCTGTACTCGAGATACCCACTTGGAGACTCCTCTTCAGTCAGTTCATCCCAGCTGTCCCAGCTGTGTCCTCTCCCAAACCCTTAACAACTCTGCCCTGCTCCCTACGGGGGGCAGAGGAGAAACAGAGACAGCCTTGACCCTGTGCAGGCACTGCTCAGCCACAACTAAAATTTTAATTGCTCCATCATCAACACTGTCCTGGTCACAAATCTAAAACACAACACTGTGTGGGCTGCCACAGAGGAAAATAACTCTATGATGACCAGATCCAGTGTGTTCACTCCCTGGTGCTCCCAGGTCTACACCTTCATATTCCCTCTCTAACATATGTACAAATAAAGGCACAGGTAAAAGGATAAGGATTTTTTTATAAACCATAATTCATAATCATGCATTGTTCTGATTGAAAAGTGTCTGCAGAAGACCTTAAGGTAACTGGCCCTAAAAGAATATGCAGGTTTTCCCTGACTCTGTTCCTTTGAAATTCTCTTTTGCTAAAGTTTTAAGATCCGCCATAGGTTGGGCAAAGCTTAAAAATTTCTGTACCATTCTGAAAGGCTTCCAGGCTTGTTTGCTAAACAGCTTAAAATGCAATTGCTGCCAGTTACTGATTTGGTGCACACAACAGGAGAAGGTTCATGTCTCTTGCACTTACAGTGTCAATCAAGATTTCACTTTAGATTCCAAGAGAAAGCATTTTCCGTTACATTTCATGGTGTAAGCACTATAAATAAGAACTTGTTCTGATCCAGTAAGGATTAAACTACAGGAGGTATGTCAGGTTAGAGACAAAGTCACCTTAGGAAGTCATATTGCACGTATCAAAGTTGTAAAGAGGGAAATGGGAAGAGGTTTTAACTAAAACAGAAATAAAAAGTCACTGATTTCACCCCGGCCTTTATCAGTGACTTAATTGCAGTTCTGAGATTCAACTGTATTTTACAGGTGGCCAAAGCACAGTCTCAAACTACAAAGCTAATTTCAGACACGATTCAGCCAAAACAATGCCATCCATATCCAAAAGCTGTTTGCTGTAAAGGAAATTAAAAATCAAACACAATATCACACTGAGATGCCCAACAATGACTGTCTATTCATATAAACAAAGTCCTTAACATAAAGCAAAGTTTTTTAACAACATCCTTGCTACCTGCAGAACCAGCAGCCAGGCAGCAGCTGAGGAAAACAGTGTTTGAACACAAGAGTCTGATGGTTCACAAGTTCCCACCCGCCAAACGATGTGAGGCGAAACAATTGAGCAGAGCTGGTAACATGAAAAATCTCTTTTTCTTTGATAGAGGAAGTGCATTCTTCAAAAAGCCTGTAACAGCTTCAAAGACCACCTCACAGTATAAATTTTGATCACGTGGAACACAAAACAACTACTGCTGCTTCTTCCCTGTCCTTTCCATATATTCTATTTCTGGGGATTTTCACAGAATAAATCAAACCTAAAAGTATCAAAATTGAGTTGACAAAAAGTTTTAAATACTGATCCAAAATCAGATTTCCCTACTGAGAATGGAACAGCAGAAGAAATAAGGACAAGGTGTTGCTGTTATCAACATTGTAAAGTGATTGTGCTACTAAAGCCTGAAGTTTCCCCTCCCAGCAGGTGAAATCATTCATTTTCCTAGGAAGAGGCTGAGAGCTACAGGAAATGAGTTGTGGAATAGAAAATTACATTCCTCTCAAGGTTGAAGTGCAGTCCCATATGAAAAAATTTGGTTAATTGCCAAAACAGTTCTCTCTATCTGGATCACACTGAATAAAGGCATTGTGAAGGACACTGCCAGAACAATAACCTGACCGGAAAATGAACCTTTCCCATTTGCCTACAGGTAACAAAGTACAGCCCTGAAACAGGAGTTCTCACTTCAGCTGGAAAGTTACACTCCAGAGAAATCTGCCCTGGCTCTTACAGACAAATGACTGTGTGATGCCCCAGATATTGCTGTACTGAAGGTGTTCCCTCCCTTGGCTCTGTTTTTCCTCCTTCAGATGTGTCATCTCAAAAGCAGGATCAGCACTTTGCTAAAAAACAAGACCATGACCCATAGATTGTCTGTCAAGGAGGGGAAAAACTGCTGGTGATAGTCACACATTCACTGCTGTACTTACAAACACCACTCTTACATACAATGATATGTACTTTAACATATTCTAAAATCCATATTGTCTCTGATCAGCAGTTGTACTGCCAGAAGGCATGACAGAGTATGCTCTTTTTGCAGCAGAAGCATCTGGTTCTTTTGTTGCTGTCCCAACTGTTCTAGAATGTTTCTTATACTCAGGAATACGATGCCTCCAGAGGGTTTGGCATATCCTGGTGCCACTGCTGGATTTTGGCTCCAGGGGGAGTCTAAAGGCACTCCAAGGGACTTTTCTCCTTGTATCAAAAATCCATCAGTATTTACACAATGAGTTGGTAACTGCCACCCAAACAGTGAACCTCCAGTTTACCTTCTTTAAAAGAAACTACTGAACTATTTGAACAAATGTCAGTGTATTTGGGGTTTTTTAAATGTGTAACTCCTCAGCAATTCCTCTGCTGTTCTGCCCAATGTTCTCACTCACACCAACATGAGCTACAAACCCATATTGTCAGTAGGCCCTAATGAGTCTTTGGTGTGTCAGCTGCTGTTACTATAGACAGCAACTGTTAAGTTTGAAAATAAACTTAATTTATGTGGTACATATGTAGAAATTGTTACTCCATCTTCCTTCGTGACTGTTTTGCCTTTTAAAAGATACCAGTAAAGAAATTGGTTGCTTTACATGACAGCCTGATGAGCTGATAACTTCAATTTTTGCCCTACCATTTTTCCAGCATTTCTCTGAAGAATCCCATTGCAAATTCAAATGTTCTTTATATATTCAAATGTTCTTTTATACTTCTTTAGTATCACACCTAGTACTGATCCCTCCTCAAGTGCTTACATCTGAAACAACGAGGAAAACAGCTCACAATACACATGGAAAGATTTCCCTGTGCAAGCAGATGAAAGCAAGAAAATTGCTGTAATGGTTTCATTACTAGGAAATGACCCAAGGATTCACAGTGAAAAACTACTGAAATGACAACTTGCCTTTATCCAAAGTGTGCAGAGTGTGAATGTGTGTATCAGAAAAGTACAGTTCAGGAAAAATCAGCAGATATTCACAGGAGAAATTCCCAGACTAATGGTTATTAGGTTTTCCCAGAATAAATCCCTCAAATTATTGAGAAACTTCACTGAATAACCTGCTGTTCATTACAAAGTGAGGGACTGAAAAATGAATTCAATATTCTCTGAAATGAGAAAAAAAAGTAACAACTCATAAGATCGTAATCAACAAAGATCGTAATTTCTGCAGTGTCCCCAAATTTGAGGAGCCTGAGAAAGAAACTACAAACTCCAAGTGTAATATAGTAAAAAATACTCTGCCTTACCCAGACATTGTTGAAAGTGGGACTCATAGCTACAGCATTTATACATGGAAAAGCCTTTGTTTCAGAAACCACAAAGGTTTTTTCTAAAAGAAGCACAGTGATATTTGAAATTTATTCTGAACAATTAGAATAATCACAGAACCACCAAATAGTTTGGGTTGGGAGGGACCTTGAAAGGTCACCTAATCCAACCTTCTATGATGAGCAGGGACATCTTCAGCTCAACAGGGTTGCTCAGATTTCAGCACTTCACCTTTCAAACCTCAACTGCCCTTTAATTTAAGTTTATGAAAAATAGGAGGAAAGTTCAATTTGCCACTGACTTGTATTAAAAATTTAAATGAGATTAATCATCATCAATAATTTACCACCTAATCAGCTCAGGCTTACTACAGGCTTGGGCCATCTCCATCATCATCAATACTCACAGGGTCTTGAGAGCTCAGAACCTCCAGGATACTGTTGAGTAATTCCACACAGTGCTTCTTCTCTTGGACCTGGAGCTGCTGATCGTCCTTCTGCTCCAGTAACTCCTTCAGCTCTTTTGTAATCACAGGGAGCAGAATGTCCCTGCATCCTGAAAGCAAGCAAATTACCTTAAGAACAAATATAAATCAAATATTGCAAATAAGCCTCCCTTCAAACAGCAAAACTCAACATGCTTTAACAGGTACAGTCCCTTCCAACTGTTGATTTCCCACAACTTCCTGACAAAGTTACTCTGTTTCAGTTAAATTCTGGAGGCTGTTGAGCTTATCTCGAACACTTGGAGGCAAATTATTCACTCATACACAAAGCACCTGGAAATAGGCTGTGCTTAAGTAGTGACAGGATTTTAATGCAAGAAAAATACTAATTGTTCTTTCCGAAAATGAGACACAAACAGCAACAGAACTGTTGTATGTCCATCATTTTGAAACACAGCTTCTAAAGGCACATAAAAGAAGGCAGACAAGGAAAAGACTCTAATGAGCCCACCAAACCTGAGAGCAAAAGCTGTGCATAAATTCATCCTTTTTTAAATTCAGGGAAGCTGACAAATATTAAGTTACATTCCAATCTCACATATAGATTGACTTTTAAAGACAGAGGTGCTCATAGGAAATGTCAGCAGGGCAAGACACACAAATGTGAAATATATTTAATGAAGGCAATGTCTGCCTAGGGATAAAAAAAATACAGCAGATTTCTGTTCTGATTTAATTGATACAAGTCACTGATTTAAGTATCAACTTACTCTACAGTGCTATATAATTACAGAGAATACAGCACAACAGTGTGAATAGTGCTGAGTAGATGCTTCAAAGATTTGTTATATTTATGAAGAAATAACCTGGGTATAAAACAGAGCTAAATATGCCTTCAAAGGCTCCACCTCAGAGCAGTATTTGTTTAGAACTCCAGAAGCATTCCCGTCACAATCAGTGAGCTGAAGGTCTTATGGATTTCTACTCAACTGACTCCTTAGTGCCAAAAATCCTTGTCTGTCTGTCTGTCTTAGGGAAAATAATTATATCACCAATTGGGTACTATTTTGTATCAATACCACACATCACAGTTTCTGAAAAAAATAATAGGACTAAACTAGAAGGCCTCATAATTACTGCAAATAGAAATGAAAATGTGGCTTTTTATTTTTCTTTTCAAAGAATGATTTAAAGCATCTCTACCTGCACATACAGGTTGACAAACAAGTGCAGACTGAGAGGAGGTGAAACTTTATCCAATGTGATTTAAAACAAGCCAGGGGCTCAGAATCCCCCCAAAATAAGGGTGCTGGTACAGGAGGAGAGGAGGTTGAGAAAGCAAGGAAAATAATGGAAAGTACATTACAAATGTCTGAATTTTGCAGATGAGGCAAGAGAAGCTGTCCTTGCAGATTATTCTTATTTCAAGTAACAGCTCCAAGCCACATGAGGCCAGGAGCTTTTAATCACATCTAAGGAGCAGCATCATTTCTTGCCTCAGAAATTATCTCTACTCTTGGTAATGATTTCTACAGCATTATTCCAAGCTACGAGACAAATCTTATTCAATGACTAAATTACAAACTCACTTGTAAAACAGCAGCTACAGAACACAGACCAACACAAGACCTGTTTGAAGAGCAGCATAGAAATGAATTTCACACAGCTTACAGTTCCTTTATGTGACTATTTCTGCACACAGACACTTCCTGCACCTAATGCAGCCCACAGATACCCCTCTGATTCTTTCTTAATTTACTCATATGAACCACTTCTAACACCTAATTGTAAATGCAATAATTGTAGTGCTATTAGATTGCTGAGCAAAAACTAAACCAAAGAAACATCATTAGCAATGTTAAAAGTTACATGCAATACCTTATAAACATGCTGAAATATGATAGCACTTTATTAACAAAGGGTTTGCATATTCAGTCAACAAAGAAGTCCAAGTTGTACATTAGATAATTACCTGCCTGCTTTCGAAAAAGCTGGAAACAAACTTTAGTCCTGTTTTCACTGCAGCCTGTGGAAACTGTCCTTCCACAGTGTAGGGTTATTCAGGGGCAAAACAGTTCCCAGTGTGATCACTTCAACATTCTGACCACTCCAAAAACTTTTAAGATAAATTTTGGGTATAACATTTGCTAAGCAAATTCCATTTCGTGTTTGTTAGGAGAAAGACCACAAGTGCATTAGTCTGTTACTGAAAGATGGCAAACGTTTAACACATTTTGAAGTGGGTGGGATGAAATAAAAAGATGGACTCACAACCCAGACAAGCAGTTCAGGTTGGATGTAAAGAAAAACCTCTTCCTTACAAGGACATTCAAGCTGCAGAACCAACAGGCTGCACAGCCTCTATATCCTGGGAGGTTTTCAAGACCCAACTGGAGCAACCTGGTCTGACCAGAAGCAGAACATGGTAGCCAACTACTCATAGCCATGACACAGCAAGAAATTTAAAGGAGACTGTGAGATTTTGAATCTTTGGATAATGAATAGTGACTGTCAGGATGCTGGGAACAACGATACCTCTCTACATATATGCCTGTATACGTAAATCATGACATTTTTAGGGCTTGTCATTTTTTAAATCCATAGACTCCAACATCAAGGTTTGCTATATCAGGAGAGATGATATCAAACTCATTACTCTAAAGACAGAAAGGAGAAACCTATTTCTTGTCATCTTACTTCGTAGCACTCGCACAGCATCACTAGAGAGGCATAAAAACTGTTTCCCATATATTAAACCTCCATGAAAATACACATGCAATATGATTCCTCTTTTCTGACACTCCCATCCCTGTGTTCCTTTCCAGAGTCTCTGACTGTGTACAAGATATGCTGACTTATCACAGCCTAAACCCATGCACTAAGCAAACAAACCTGTCTGCAGTTATATCTGTGTCTACACATGGCAGCATTTTGTGTCACAAATTCTCTGCTCTAAACCTGCTGTGGATAAATGACACTTTTTATAAGGCTGCACAACTATTACTCCAACAATCTGCAACAGACACAGTAACAGCTACACATAAATCCAATGTGAAGAGCCCAACACACTCAGCCTTTCACTAATCTGCAGTGATATGTAGGAATTCAGATTCCAAACCAACAGCATGTCAGAAATTTAGCTGGCAACCCTTTTCCCATGACCACCATTCTTAAAAATAGTGCCCTTGAACATATTTCCACTTCAGAAAAAACATCAGTAGGGTGTGCTATGCTAACAGGCCTGTTCCTCACAGCCAAGTTCAAAGTCACATCAAATGATGTGACATCTCAGCCACTCTTCACCTCTCACAAAGAGGATGGAATGTTATATGCACTTACCGGTTTCACATCTGCCAGGATAAACATACTTACTGCTCTCAGTCCTCCAAAATAATATCCAGCTCAATTTCCAAGCTGTTAAGATGTCCCTTTGAACTGTCTGACAGCTAGCAAATATAAAAATTCCCTTTGGATAGCTTTTAAAGTTACAGGAAGCAACTGGATAATAAAACCCTAGACGTAATGAGCTTTATTTCAAAAGCAAAGGAAGAGAACAGACTGAGCAAAGTCATTGATCAAGAGAAATCCTATATTTTAGCTACAGTCCATTTTAAATTTAGACTCATATAGAAAATAAAAAATGAGGTTTTCAAGGTAGGTATTCTGGGTATATTAAGCATTAAATTCCACCTCACTTCATATGCCAGTGATACTCATCTGATCAATATTTAGGAAGCAGAGAAGAGATCATGAGTTACAAGTTTTGCTGGACACACCTTAAAGAGGAGTGGGAGAAAACTTCACTGAATTTAAAACTGCTCCATACCAGGGGTCAGAGGCCACTTAAAGCTTCCTACCAAAATAATACAAAATACAAAATGCCTGCTGTCGTCTATAACTCATTAAACCCTCCCCCACCATATATTTTGGTGAAAGAATTAAGTCTTTGACATAATTTATCTTCTGCATAAAGCCATTCCACACTTCTTAAACATGGGGAAAGCTGGCCTTCTTGCACAGACCAAATTTTCCCATTGTGCTGAGGGAACAGCTGAGGCAGAAGGTACAATTGATTTCCTCCAGTTTTAAAAGCTAATTACTCTGCAAGCTTCAGTACTCCCAGTTGTACTTGGCAATATAAATTAAAATTTGATCCATATTGGATACATACCGAACCTATTAAAAGGATTTAACATATGCAGCTGGTCAATTATTTACGGTGCATTTTCAGCTGTGAACAATGCTGAAGTGTCAAGCTGAGTGGAAATTCAGAGGTTGTTTAACCAGCCTTAGCTTGTTAACCTGCCATTGATAATAATACAATAAAGATCAATATATTTAGTAATCAAATTCTGCTTCTTGTTGTTGTTGTTGTTGTTAAATCATTTGGTTAACACTAAGTTATATGACTATTTTGTGACTGGCTGCTAGATAAACTCAGCTGGTTAGTTAACACAGGAGAATTACTTTATTTTGTAAGGTACTTCTAGGACACTTCATAAAAAGAAGAAGGGGAAAATTAATTAGCTTTCATAAGATCCCTGCCAGTTAAAGTTATCCCATGTGAGGATGCAATAATTCCAAGAGGTTCTGAAGAACATATACAATCAAAGCAACTGAAAAAGACCAGTATTTATAGCAGTATGTATATATATGGACTGATATCAAGCTCTGGTCTCAGCCTGAGCCTGCAGGTGGATTAGAGCAAACACAAACCTGCAGTCATGCCTTTGCACCTTTGAAACTTCAGCTAAAACTATTTCAATAGAACACTGTGCAAAACATGAAATCCTTCTACCATATTGGGACAAAGGTTATTGAATGGGTGCATAAATTCCAGATTATAATACTAAGCTATCATTGCACAGGTTAAGCAAGCAGAATGAGCCAAGTGCTTATTTGAGCATCAGCAATACACTGACTTGGGAAAAGAGAAAAACAGTTAGGAAAATCATGGCAGTCAAAGTAAAATTTGATGTTGCAGTGTTGGATGATCTAGACTCATCACTGAATGCACCCTCAGCAAGTCTGCAGGCAACACTAAACTGGGTGGGAATGCTGATCTGCCTGAGGGCAGGAAGGCTCTGCAGAGGGGTCTGGACAGGCTGGA